GAAAAAAAGAAACGTCGTCTGTTGCATTCGTTCTTATTGAATAAAGCGCTTTTGATGAAACGAAATCCGATCGCATTGAACCCTCTGAGCGTAACGTTCGCTTAAATGCGTTTCAATTGCTTCTCTTATGACTTACGCCAAGATAAAAGTGCAACGAAGAAGGAATGATTTTTGAATGCCTTTTTTATCGGCGGGTTCTGTTTAGCAAAAATTTTGCAACAGACGTAAGAAAATTTTCCGCTATCGTTCTGTGCCATTTGCTGTCCAGTGATATTTCGCTGCTCTTATCTTATCGGAAATAATCTCACACCAATTTCATTTAAGAGACGCTATGTGACGTTCATGAAACGTGATATGCTACATGTTTGGACGATCCCGTTGCTTTATATTATGACTTATGCCGGGGATGCATACATAGATCAGCAAGAAGTTGGAGGAGGGCAATCGCCGTCGGAGATCCCAAGCATGCTGCAAGGCACTACATCATTTTTGCATTTATTTTATCTTCAACAGTTGACCGGCTGCCTCAGCACTGGCAATGAGTACAATTGGCCGAATTCAAGATGTAATTTCTATGATCGGGCGCCATGATAAGTAATTTTGCTTGATTTCACGCGTTGACTAAGAAGAGTTTTGTTGCTTCGCGTTGTTCATGCTCGTTCATACCATTTAATCGCTGTTGAACTGTGTCGAAAAATTGCAAGAAAATTAGAATGAATTCATAATACATACATATATGATAGAATACGATAAGATGAATCTTATACGATGAAAAAAGGTGACAAATCTTATACGCCGTGGAAATAGCCTCATCAATCAATGTGAGGGGAAGAGAATGAGTTACTATTGAGCGCTGATACTTAAAAAATTAGCATCCATACGATTAAACTAGGCGTCTCAAAAGTCTCGAAGATCGACGATATGTTCGGAATCGATTTTTGATAACGTATAACTTCTAAAAGGCTTCATAAGCCATAAAGTTCTCATTTGAAGAGTTCTGAATCGAGATTATAAAATATTCTATAGCCCCTCAAAATAGCAGTTAATTTTCGATTCGCTTGCAAATTTTAAGACATAGAGTGATAGGCGATTGATAGATAGGCAAGCACCGCAAAAGATGGAGAATTTTGGAAAATTTTCGAAAGAAAGTTTCCGAAAAGGTAAAATTTTCGCCACATTCGGAGCTTTGTAATTGATTTCCGTTAAGAGCGGCACTTTCGCGGCCTGTAACTATCTTCCGATAATTTTGTTGCAAAAAAATTCTCGATATTTAAATGAAAGATGGCCATGATGGCATGAACAGCATTCGACTGTTGGAAGGATCGAGAATAAAGTAGGTGGGAAGCCTTATTGATGGGGAGCTTTTTCGAGCAAAGATCTCCAAAAAGCACGTGGTTTTTGGTTACGCCAAAACTAACTTTTTTCAAAAGCGATATACAGCTAGCTTTTCGTGCATGTGACTCGCCAATTTGCTGGTCGGCTGCCGTAGAGACACCTCCGTAAAGTACGTTTACCGTTATCGCTGTATAGCGTCATTTGCATTCATACTTTAACTGATTCGACTATTTAGAAGAATCTTCGAGTTCAGTGAATCTCCAACATTCACTGGATCTTCACAAGCGAGATCCCCTGGTGGCAGTCATCTCATCCTTATATCTCGGCTGATAAGTTTGATTGCCCCAGATTTGTTGACCATTCGCAGTGGGTGTCGTACAAAAGCTTTTAGGCGTCTGAATTTATTTTTCGGCAAATCAGTGGTTTTAATTGAAAAAATTTATTTGTTCACGGCTGAACAAGATCAAAACATTCACGTATAACGCTTACCTGAAATGACTGCTCCCAACAATTCTGCCAGTCCGGCTAACATCGACACAGCATCTGCGTTACTATTCTGAATAAGATCAATGCGCTGCTCAATATCGGCGTAGCCTGGAGCTCACTTGGCCAGCTTTCTTCGCATTATCTCTTTGTACTGCAACTCTGGCGCGACCACCAAAATGTTTTATTGCTAGCTTTGCTTGCCATGTTTCAAAGTTGCCCCACGTTGCGTTAATTTCACCTGAGAACTGTTTTCGTTCCACTGTGCTGCCATCACCATTAAAGTTTTCAGCTCATTTGCGTCCGTAATTATGAAATTCCGTTCGCCAGCTTGCGTTATCTTTAATTTTCGCGCTCGTTCAGTGGTATAATTCTTATTCGCCGATTTCACCAACCAGAACTTCGATGGACAATAAAAATAATTTTAAAAAAAAGGTTTCGCGTGCTATTCGAGAATACGGAGTAATTACCATCCTTCGAGCAATTCTGAGTGCAGAATGGCGCTGTAATGAAAACAAACGAAATTTTTTAAACAACAATTCAGCAAATTTCGACATTGTTGAGTGAGAAAAAGTTCTAACTTAGACATTGCGCAAATGGTTTAGTTCTTTCACAGTGGGATGCTGTGATCGAGTAGCAACTTTTCAATCGTCCATCAAGAGTTCAGTGCGGGATGGCAGACTGATCGCAAGGCCTGATAGTTTGCTCTACGATACTCATATGACGAGCAGTGACTGAAAAACTCACTCTTCAGTAATTCGTTCGTTGGTTCTTTGGCAAAACGAGAAGCAGCGGCAGCAGTAGCGAATAAGTGAACACCCGCTGTGAAAAGATGCAGGTGTGGATGAAGAGAAGATGGTGAGGTGAAGTGAGGATGGGATAAGAGTAACAGTTGCAGATGCAAAGAGATGTGGGGTGCAGGAAACCTCGACGAGAGAGTCTTCCCTTTGGCTATCAGACCACTCCGTCCGTGGTTTTCTGTTAGGAACCGAAGGCCAGAGTTTAACCCAGGCTACTTTCGTTGACCAATCTAGCCAGCCTTCCAGCTCCGCTGATCGTTCCGCATCTCGCATCCATCTCTTTATTGTCCCTCATGTTGTTGCCATCATTTCTGCTCTTCAGTTTTCAACTTCTGTTGGTGACTTGTTGGTTTTCATTTCTCGTTGTCGCTACCGGGACGCCTAGCATCTTTTTGCCATGCCGTGACGCCAGCCGATCTTTATAGTGGAATTCGCCAATCGCGACTCGCCAACTAACTTTCGTCGTATCGCGACTCGCCAACTAACTTTCGTCATATATATATATATATATATATACATGTATATGTACATATATGTATTGCTACATTAGCGGCAATATATTTACCGCATTAGCGGCAACTTGCAAATTTCAATGTTTCATGCCATTCTGTGCGATTGTTCACCGGTATCCTTCGGAGACAATTAAGTGATGCATTTGAACGTGGATTCAGAAGAGGCTACGTGGTGCTTATACATGTATATTTATATTTATATATATATTCGTGCCCGGCCATACTGTCCTCAGCGGAAAAGCAGCAAAATTAACGATGTACGAGATGTACGATATTGGGTGAATCGGGAACATTAATGACATGATCAACATCATTGCGTTCTCCTTCATCTGAAATCATTTCATCAATTTTTGAATTTATGGAAGCGTGAAGAGCCATGACGAACCGAAGAATCTGTAAAGGTTTATGGAGAGGCGTTCAGTTGGCGAGAGATTTTTGGGATTGGCTTTCATCGAGTGAAGAGTATTTTTATGCATGATGAGTTCGTAAAGACCAGTAGGGAGTCAATAATGCGCACTAGGAGTGTCTGTAAAGATCTATGAAGAGGTGTTTAGCTAGGAGAAAGTTTCGCAGCAAATGCCCAAATGAGTAGTGGCAACTAAGTTAATGATGAGCGAAGGGATGACGCTCACCCAATTGGTATCGTTAGCGTTGAGGAGCCTGACTTATCATCACACTCGCACTAACACGATGGGCGATTGCGACGGCTGCATTGTCACCATCAATATCTCTGATTCGGTGCCACTGGTTTGTAATTGTTTCTGTTCCTGTTCGTACCTCATTTTATCCACTTTCCACTGTCCCCTTCCCGCACCGATCCACTCCAACGTGCATTCATGATCCCGTCATGATCACTGGTGTGCTACACGGATTACATACTCTGACGGATAGCGGTTCTTCGAGTTTTCGCTCCCAGACTCTTGCGTCGGAACGTTCTCCACCGGACGTCTCCCAATCGTAGTCTCTCTGCCCTGCTGAAAGCCGCATCTAAGGAATAAAGTGCTTCTCAACTTACTTCTGCCTTTTCGAATTTCCGTCACATTCGTTCTCTGCGGAAAACCGCTCCATGCAAGCGATAGTGGACACCATAAAAGTGCACTTTTCCAGAAATGATAACACCGATATCGGGAGAAAAGTAGCGTCGCGTTATTTGCAATAGGAACCCCGAAAATATGAGCTTCCTGTCCAAAATCAGTTTAATCGAAACTGCGATTAAAAGTTCGTCCACATAATTCAAACGTAGCAATAGTGAGTATCCAAATCATTATTACGGTCACTGCCTTTTTGGCCCAACACGTCCGTTCGATCGGCCTGATTGGAAGGAGTTGCTATAGTGATAGGGATAGGATTATACTGAGAAGCCTCCAAAAGGTCTATGAACCCATTGCGCGCTACAGCTTTAGCTCGTAGTGCTGCTGAAAGGTTACTTTATTTGTCCATGAAGAAAACCAACCCTTCACGCACTCTCGCTAGAAGCAATGACGCCGGCGCGTAAGCGTAGCGGTCGCAAGAGAGCGCCACGACCTCTGCCGGAAGGTGCTTTTAGCGGTGTCGGTGTTGGACGTGGTGACTGAAGTCTTTACGGTCACAAGAGTGGTACTTATGGCTATGGAAGTCATATCCACCGATCTTCTGGATGGGCCATGGCGCTTTTTTTCTTATCACGGTGAAAGTCAAGCACATTCCACCTTGCTACCTCTAAAGTTCACAATGAAAGCAATAACGCCTGTCACTCTTTAGAAACATAGTTATTAGCAAAGTGGCGAAACCCTTATATTACTAATTAGGACTGTACCGAATCCTGTTGGTGTTTTCGTTTCGGAAAATTACTGGTTCGCAGGACTGGGCGTTGCCTCTTTACGGATATTTGATGCCTGTGTTGGTCGCTTTGACGTCGATCACAAATTCGTTTCTTGTGATCGTTCTTTCGCAGAAACATCTACGCACTCCAACCAACTATGTTCTTCTCGCTATGGCGGTCACTGATTTACTAACAGGTACCTTCCGCAATTTTCAATGTGTTATCTCTGTATGATAGCCATCATAAGAAAAGGCTCTGCTTTCAAATTGTTTATTTTGGTACCCTTGAAAGATGCCTTACCCACTATCTCCTTAAGGTGCACATAAACCAAAGCACAAAGTAACTGTCAGAGCCCAGCTAAGTTCACTATTTATAATGACTAGGCATGCGTCCGACTTTTCACTGGTTCGTTTCCACAACGAAATCTTCAGTGTAATCGAAAACGATCACCTATTTATCAAACAAGTTGTTTTATTCAAGTTTATACACTACACTCGCCGCCATATAATAGAAATCAGTGCTTCCAGTTTGCTGCTTCATAGTTGAGAACTGTTCTGCTTTAATTTCAAAGATACCCAGGCTTGTGAAGGTTTTTGTCCTAACATAATTAGAATCTATGCTGTTGATTGGCTATAAGGCACGTTTATTTTGCAAATTGCTTCCAGGGTTAACGTCAGTTCCATGGTTTCTTTACTATTACACACTGAGGGGATACACGATTGACGAGAAGTGGGGTCTGGAGCCGTTTTGGTGTCATGCACATCCTTATCTTTCGCAAATGATACCAACGATTTGGCATACGGCTGCCATATGGCTCACGGTATTCCTGGCTATTCAACGCTACGTTTACGTGTGTGTACCGAGCAGTGTGCACCGATACTGTACACCGAGGACGACCAAACTTTGTATTATGACCATTGTCTGCGTATGTCTCCGATTGACTCCTCCGCATATGACAGCTCATAGTAGCCTTATCAGTATGGCCACTTTTTAAAAAAAATGTAACGTGGACAAAAATTCTGCAAATTAGGCTGTTTTTAGCGGAAGGCGTCGTATTTCCTCAATCTTCTTTAAATAAAATTTTCACAGATTTCATGCTGGAGAACCATTAAAGCTAAAATCTGCTAACGGTCGATTCTGCCAAAATTTGCATATATGAAGAATGGGGAAAGGAGGTAGGTGATCAAGCGACCATTTCAACCCTCTCCGATAATGTTCGATCGGCTTCGATCGGCTAGGCATACATAAAAGTTGATCGCGAAAGATGCTAATTAACCAAGTCATCGAGAGTTAGAAAGGCTAAAATTTTGTAGCAATGCAAATAGAAAATTGATATGTTATCAAAAGCTTGAAAATAATCTTTAGTACATTTGCCCTGTTTGCTCCCTAGTACACCAGCTAGTACAATACATCCAACTGTACAATAATTTCTACTGGTTACCCGACCCCCCGAAGATGAATAATATTATGCTTACGGCGATCTCAGTTTGGTAGAGCTTGTCGAACAAAATGAGGTGGCCGTTTACACATTATTATTCCTCTTGGTGGGATACAAAGATGATCAGAGGCCTCAGTTGCAGCAGAGACAATTTAAAACAATTTGTTAAGAGTACAGTTGTCTTGATGTCTTTTCAGACAACATTTTCTGAAGAGCTAGCAGCCATTAAATTTTTGCCTCGATCAGCTTTTGACGCGAGCAGCATACAAATTATAAGTTTTGCCCTATCGAGCTAAGAATCAAACAATTCTTCAGTCATTTAAGGATGAACTAAGGACGAGAAGAGAAACGAGCATGATTTTGGCTGTATTTTTTGTGACTGAAGTGAGCGAAAAAGCTCTTTTGAAAGAATGCGGCAACCCTCAGAAATTTCGATGTTCATTGTCATACGTAGCGCGGTATTTTCAAGCTGAAGCAGACGGCATGAGCTCGAAATTTTAGACGTGAAGGCAGGGTTCATTAAAATTTGGATTCATCAGTGAATTCCATTCCCGCATAGCGCGTCTTTTTATACGCCACTGAGCGTATTCTTTTGTGTGCGAGTTAACAATAGCTATCAAGCTTGTTAAGCCAACAATAGGGTCGATAACTACATAAGGTTAGGAAATTGTTGAAAGTGAGGAAAGTTAGCTATCGTTGGGAATCACCATTCTAGAGCAAATTTTGCTAGTAAAGTTAGCAGAGGGGCAACCAATAATGAAAATATGGTCGGATTGTGCGGGCGATTGAGCAACAGAGACAGTACGCATGTCTGTCTATGCAAATGCTAAAAAGGACAACGTCTCATCTTTTGCACTCTTTTATGTAAACTTTTTGATTGAACTGATAGAGAGCCTTTCCAAGAACCCCGATGTCCTAATTAAATGGCATCTGCTCATTGAAACTCCACATTAGTGAGTATCGTCATTCAGTGAGAAAGCTGGAAGGTGCACCATGGGGCTTGCAGGGTGTGCGCTATCGCAGTTCTATTTTGAAGTGTCTACTTCGTTCTGTCAATCACCCCCAAAAACAAGTCAATGGTGCCTGAATATACAGATGCTGCTTTGTTCCAACGGTCCTCAAGTAGTTGCTTTTGGCACACAGTTGATGGTCAAACGATTTGTTTAAGACAATACAGCTGCTACTTGCCTGCCATCCATTTTCCTAGAACTTCGTGGTCGTTGTCGTTGCTCACAAATTCCATACCTCTCAAGCATAAATGCATATTCCAGACTGTGATTATGTATCCTGCAAAATTTGAGTATAGATCACAAAGTCGAAATCTCGCTTTAGGTGAACGGAAAAACGGAACTTGGGAGCATTTTTTTCCTCTCGATTAGCTTCCATGCAGCAGGATTCGCCAAAAAGTGTGGATCGATCCGAAACTATGTTTCGCATCCTTCGTAAACCATAGATATGCCCCCCAGATATCTTGGAAGTAGCCTCAGTGGATGATGAGTTGAAAAAGCAGGAGTGGTCCGACAAAGAACAACCATGCGCGCACATGCAGATATGGGTATCGACACTTTTCGTCATTCTTTTTTTTGCGCGATTACAAACGCATAATCTGCGATTGCAAAAAGTAAATGAGAACTGGTTTTATTCAGTTGGCGGTCGTCGCCGAAATCCCCGAATTATTTGGGAAATATATGGAATCGCGATACGATGGCGATCGTGCAATATGTAACCTTCATTATGCGCCATGGGTACTCGAGGTGCTTGGCGTGCAGTTGTTTTACTCGATATACTATTGGTTTCGTGTCATCTGCGTTCATGGAATACCCTGTTTTATGTTACTGGTAAGTTTGTGAAACTTTATGCTCATTTAAATGATAACTGAAGCATCTTTTCTATTTTCTTTTATAAGTTTATTTGCGTTTTTTCCTTTAATCTCCTCAATGATCGTTTTCACTGTTCATTTATTCGTGTAAGTTTGCAGAGGCTACACTAAACCTCTCCTTAGTCGCATGCCATTTAGCTCCCTTGAATTTCCTTGACCTCTTTGTCTCAAATCCTATGTCATCAGATACTAAGCTCCTATGGCAGCGATTTTCGGCTGCATCTCACATCCGAACGTTCGCTTGCATTTGTCTGCAAACTATCCTTATAACATTCTTTCCTCTCACGCTTTGCCCGAAAATGCTCGTTGGAAGAGAGGAGAATAGTCAGACATCTATGCATATTGATGATTCTTGTTTTCAACGATTTTTGCTCGTTTCCTCCTCACTTAAGTAATCGTTAAAGCCTCAATTGCAACAACCGTATAAAACTGTCGGATCTCTCTCTCAGTACTATACAAATGCACATTTGTTCGCTTAGTTTGTTTTTACATAGTTTAGAAGCATTTATAGGCATGAGAAGAGATATGGCTGTTTTTAGATCACTGCCAAGAAGACGTGTTTCCCCGTTCTTTAACACAATCTTTAAGTCGTAGGTGGTCATATTTCACTGTTTTGATCTCGCTATCTTCAACGTTGGGAATCGTTAAGGTGCATATGCTCTTATCATAAAATTAATTACTCGTTTTTTGTGATCTTTTTCCACGTGACAACACGCGAGAGCATTTATCGCGTATGCACAAAACTCGTCCATTAAGTGCACAACCCTAACGTGCTTCTAGAAATTCCTCTAGGTAACTGTAGAAACTCCTCCAGATAACTCCTCCATGTAACGCAATGCTCAGCGCGTCTGTTGTATCAAAGATGTTCGTCATTTAACGTTATTCACGTCGTTGTGTTGTTGTTCTCCGTGTCTGTAGTACTGCAACAAATTTTGCTCTTTTGGCCGTCACAGTCATTATTATTATCTAAACATAGTTCTTTCTTCCGAAATGTGACCTATGTTTCATTTGAAGGCAATGCTGAAGGCAATTCCGCATTGTTTCTGCGACGGTTTAGGTCACCATTTTGTGTGGAGCGACATAATTTTCAACTAAAAATTTTCACAATTTCCTATAGATAAGAAGCATTATTTGTAAAGGAGGATCGAAAATGCTGGGAAGAAATTTCTGCATTTTTCATGTTATCTTTGCCTTCCATTCCACATTCACACTCTTACTTGTTCATTTATTGCGGAATGAATTTTTTGACGAATTTTGCTTTTCGCATCTTATGAAGACAACTGCGCATTACTGAACTGGAAACTTTTCTTGCTCAGTTGACTCAAAAAATCACGATAGCGTCATTTAGCGAAAAACCCGGAGATAAAAGCAGGCAAGAAGGAA